CGCAGCGCAGCCGAGCCGCGCTCGCCGCACTCGGGCAGCGGCTGCGGAGGCGATGAGAGGCCGGAGGGGCTGAGCCGAGCCGAGCCGCGCCGCGCCGGGGGAGGCGGAGGGGCTGCGGGCAGCGGCGGCCGCCCGGCCCCGGATTTCCATGGTGCCGGGGGCCGCCTGCGTCCCCCCGCCCTGAGCCGGGAGGAGGGCGGCAGCGGAGCGGCGAGGGCTGGTGAGTGGCGGCGGATGGCGAGGGGATGCTGCCCGAAGGGGTGCGGGGGGTCCCCGGGGTGGGGGCTCCGCCGGGCATCTCCCGCCGGAGGATGCGGGGAGGAGGCTCGGCAGCCTTGTCGCCGTGCCGCCCGCAGCTGCCCGAGCCGGGTGGCACCGGGGGCTGTGGTGGCACCGGGGACTGCGGGTGGCACCGGGGGTTGTGGTGGCACCGGGGGGTGCAGAGCGCCGGGTGGTGCCCGGCCCGGTGCCCGGTGTTCCCGGCCGTGCCCGCGGAGATGCCGGGGTGCCTGGGGAAGGGATGGAGGAGCCGCTCGGATTGCCCGGCTCCGGGGAATCCAGCGCCCGCTCCCTCCCCGGGCTGCTCCGCGCCCCCGTTAGACATCGCCGCTTCCTCGTTAATTCTGCGGCCGCTCCGTCACGGTCTGGAGCCAATGCAGCGGGATAAACTCATCTCCATAAAAAGTTCCTGCTAGCAAGGAGGCACTTTTCGGAAAACAGCCCTGAATCTTAGGGGAAAGGACATAAAATCCCCACTGAAACTTTCCCAAATCCGCGCGAGACCCCTTTTGGACGGTGATGAGGGGAGAGATACCGAACGCACTTGTGCTCCCTCGGGGGAAATCCCAGCTCCCGGGTGAGGGTCGCGGTTTCCGCAGCCCCGGAGCTGTCGGGTGGCTGTCGGTGACAGCCGGGGCTGCTCTGGCTGAGCTGTCCTCGCTGGCTGTGACCTCCGTTTAACCTGGCACGGTCAGGCGTTCCCGGCTTTGTCTCCGTTCACGCTATGGCCAATAGTCGCACGTTCCTGGAGGTGAAGTGAGTGATGTTCAATTAATCTGTGTTCTAAGGGGTATCAGAAAGTCAATAGGTTAATTTTAAGCGAGGTGAATAGTAAGTGGCAGAGGGGGGAAAAAAAGCCCTGGGCGTCTGTGAGCAGCAGCTGAGGCTCGGAGGTGAGGGAACGTGAAGTTCTCCGAGTGCCATGGTGGGAAACCACTGCTCAAAGGCTGCTCCTGCTCTTTGCTGGGCACTTGATGCTTCACTGGTGGCTTCGAGGTGCTTGATAGACCTGGGCTGAGCTGGGGACCTGGTCCTGTCCCTCCTGCTCTGGATGGCTTCATTGATAACGGTGACTAAAGTGAGATGAGATGACCTACTTACAGCTGAGGGACAGATGCCTCGCAAGAATCTGTGCCATGCTCGGAACAGATGTTTGGCTTTTTACCTTTAACACAGAGGTGTTAGATCCTTTAGAACTCAATGGGGCTTTTTTTTTTTTCGGTCTTTATTGCTGTCCTTCTGCCATTTGTTGTCACTTTGAGGACCCTCAGGGCTCAAATGTGGTATTCCGGGGTGGTGCGGGTGACCAGATAAAGCAGCTTTGACTCGAGAATCTCGGTGCGAGCAGCGAGGGACGTGACCCAGCGGTGTCACTCGTGAAATGCCTTATCAGGCCAGGCAGCCATCCCTCCCAACTCTGCCACATCCCCAGCGCTTGTTGCAAGAAGATAAAGTAACCCAATTCACTCCTCGTTGTCTCTATGGTGTTGTTTGATGGAATTCATCGTGGAGTTGCCCCAGCTCAGCAGCTGGTGCGGTGGAGCAGGTATTGATGCTGTGTAAAACCTGCACATAGCCCACCAGCAGGATGGAGCAGCCCTGGCCATGCTCTGCCTGTTCCCTGGTTAACCCTGAGCCTGCCGGCAGCGGGGAGCTCCAGCTGGAAGCTGCAGGCACAGCCCGGCCGCGGGACCCGGGGAAGGAAGGGCTGCCTGCCCCTGCCCTGTGCTCTTTAACTCTCCCCTGCAAATTGCATTAGGATGTGACAAATTGGCCCGCGAAGCAGCTAAATGGAGATGACATTTGGAGCGGTGTGCCGGGCAGACCCCGCGGAGTCTCAGGAAATGTGTGATTTGCAGGCTCTTCCCGACATCTCCCATTTAGGCAGCGCCACGAGGCTTTCCAGAACTTACTCAGGGAACTCCTGTTGCAGCCAAATGTGGGAGTCTGGAGCATGCCTGGGAAAGGTTGCCCAAAAGCTAGGGCAGATGTAGGTGCAGACTGTCTCATGCCGTGGGCAGCTGAGATGAGGAGCTGAACTGGGAGAGAAAGCAAAGCCGATATTTAGAAATTGCGTGAGTGGTGAGGAGCTGAAGGTGGGAAGCTGGGCTGGCTCTGGGTGCCAGCGTGACGCTCTGCTGGGGGTGAGGGGCACCTCTGCTCCCTGAGGGGTGATCCTGGGGGTACAGGGGCACCTTTGCTCCCTGAGGGGTGATCCTGGGGGTGAGGGGCACCTCTGCTCCCTGAGGGTGATCCTGGGGGTGAGGGGCACCTCTGCTCCCTGAGGGTGATCCTGGGGGTGAGGGGCACCTCTGCTCCCTGAGGGGTGATCCTGGGGGTACAGGGGCACCTCTGCTCCCTGAGGGTGATCCTGGGGGTACAGGGGCACCTCTGCTCCCTGAGGGGTGATCCTGGGGGTGAGGGGCACCTCTGTTCCCTGAGGGGTGATCCTGGGGGTGAGGGGCACCTTTGTTCACTGAGGGTGATCCTGGGGGTACAGGGGCATCTTTGCTCCTAGATGGATGATCTCCTGGGGAGCAGGGGTATCTTTGTTCACCAAGGGATGATCCTGAGGGAGCATGGGTATCTTTGTTCACTGAGGGATGATCCTGGTGACCCTTGTTCACTATAGGATGCTCTCCTGGGGGAGCAGGGTATCTTTGCTCACCAAGGGATGATCCTGGGGATGCAGGGACACCTTTGTTCACTAAAGGATGCTCTTCTGAGGGTACAGGGACACCTTTGCTCACCGAGGGATGATCCTGGGGGTGCAGGGATACCTTTGCTCACTGATGGGTGATCCTGGGGGTGCAGGGACACCTTTGTTCACTAAAGGATGCTCTTCTGGGGGTACAGGGACACCTTTGCTCACTGATGGGTGATCCTGGGGATGCAGGGACACCTTTGTTCACTAAAGGATGCTCTTCTGGGGGTGCAGGGACACCTTTGCTCACCAAGGGATGATCCTGGGGATGCAGGGATGGATACCTTTTCTCACCGAGGCTGCTCTGTGGCTCTCGGGGAAGGGCCTGCCCCTCATCCCAACAGCAGCGTGTGCACCTGCCCCTCTCACCCCGCCTCTCCCAGCACATCCGCGGCTGCTCCAACACGGCGCTGATCAAGCTGTTTTAATTGGCCCCTCTGCAGCCTGAACGATAAATATGTAATGGGGGAGAGTGCCCCGCCGCTGCTGTCGGCGCTGAGCCTGTCATTTCTGACGGGGCAGGGCGCGCTCGCCGCTCGGGCTCGCTCCCGCCCGCCTCCACCCTGCGAAAACCGCGCTCGGCATCCTTAAAAAGAGGGGAGGAAAAAAACCTGCAAAAAGATGAACCTGAGCATGCAGTGCTCCTGAGACAGGCCCCTTCACATTTCTAAACACTCTTGATTATTCAGCTAATCTTTATTTCATGGGCCTGTTACAAGAAACACAAACGGGGGAGAAAGTAGAAGGCGGTGACACATTTAAAATACACAAGAAAAGTGCTGGCAGGAATATAATCGTTCTTCTTCCAGCGATATGAAATATTTATGGGCCTAAGTTGTGGCAAGACTCTCTGCCTCCCCTCCCACCTTAACTCTGAAATGTTTTTCCCGGTACAACAGGAACTGGGGGGCACTGGTGGTGCTGGCAGCAGAGCCTTGTGCCCCCCCGGTGTCTGCAGGGCAGGGGCACCCAGCTGGCCGGGCACAGCGTCCGTCTGTCCGTCTGTCCGTCCCCGGGCAAGGGAAGGGAAGGGAGGAGCGGAGCGCTGGCCAAGCTGCCCGGCTCAAACGGGAGCAGAGCTGTTACAGTCTGTTAACTCGAAATAATTCAGCAGCGTCCCCTCGGCGAGCTGTGAAAAGCCCCCTTTGAGGTGCCCGTGTTGTGGAGGAGCCGCTGCTCCCTCAGGGCATTCTGCTATTAATTCATTAGATCTGAGGGTTTTTTTTTTTTTCTCTCGTCCCCCCCTCTTTTCTCTCCCCCACCCCCCTCCCTGGCAATTCAAACAGTGATGAATGGACAAAAATCCCTCAAGGGAAACATTTTTTCACTTAGTTACAAAGATTTCATGGCTAATTAGAGTAAATGTGGTTTTTAGAGTGTTAATCTCTTAACCAGCTTGGCTGGGAGGCCACCGCCACAACAGCACGGGGGAGGGCAGGGGGGACCAAGGTGCTGCCAACCCCTCCGGGCTGAGCCACGGGCATGGGGGCGGCATCTGGGGGAGCTGAAGTGTCGCTGTCACCCGGAGCATCCCTGGGGACCTCCTCCACGCCGGGCAGGGCGAGGGCACAGCGGGGATGGAGGCAGCAGGGAACCAAAGGAGAAGCGAGGAGCCGCTGTCTGCGGCCAAAATAAATGAATTTACCGCGGGTGGTGCCGGCAGGGACTCGGGCCGGGCAGCCTGGGCTGTGTCCCCACGTGCTGCGGTGGCACAGGTGGCCCTGGCACCTCCCGCAGCACCGGGTGCCCGTGACACAGGCGGGCCCTCATTGCCAGAGGGGTTCTGCTGGTGGAAATCCTCTCCTTTTGCGGCTGTGCAGGGATTTCTCCTCGTGTCTGGGTAGCGTTTCTCTTTCCTCCGTTCTCCCCACCTGGCATCCTCATTTCAGCTGGTTTTGGCTGCTCCTCCAAGGGGAAAATGGCAAAAGGGGCAGAGGAGCTGCTGAGGCTGCTCCCCGCGGCAGCCGGGCCCCACAAACAGCACGGGGTGGGATGTGGGCTTGAAATTCCTCCTCATCCCACTAGAGGGGATGCTCTGGATCCAACTAAAAACCCACACGAGCCCAGCAAGGAGCAAAGCTGCGCCGAGCTGCAGCGCTGCTGGTGCCGGTGGGGACGGGGCTGGAAGCCTGGGGGCACGGGAGGATTTTGGTGCTTTTCAGACTCTCCCGGCTGATCCAGGCTGGCCGTGCCCGTGTGTCCTCGCTCCCGGCTGGGGCGAGGCTGCTCCAGCAGCG